TCTCTCCCACTCCCCGTTTGTATTCCCTCTTTCGCTGTCTCTCTCTCTGTCAAATAAATAAATCTTAAAAAAAAAAAAAAAAATGTAAAAACTTGTTGCATGTAACATTCATTCTAAAGGCATTTTTCCTCCACTATGTGGCCCTCCATACCAAAGCAAAATTAATTTCTGACTAAGATCTGGAAGTGCTGCTCCCATCTTTTATTTATATATCATAATATTCTCAGTCTTTAAGATACAACAAAGTAGAAAAATTAAAAATCAGAGTCAGGGAAAAGATAAACAAAAACTTGAGATATAAAATGTTTGGTAATTTTTATGTAATAAATTCCTACCTGTTTCTAACGACTATTTCTCAATTTTCAACACAGGGTATGATAGGCTTACCTTTAAGCAGAGAAACTCAATGTAACTCAGACCATCAGTCCCTCCTACAAATATACTTGCTCCCTATACCCCAGTGATGCCAGAGTACAGTTCTAAGGACCAATGCAGCTTTGCTTCAGATTCCTTTCCCATTCCCAAGATTTTAAAATCTCTACTCCTGGGGCACCTGGGTGGCTCAGTCAGTTAAGCGTCTGCCTTCGGCTCAAGTCATGATCCCAGGGTCCTGGGACTGAACCAGGGGTCAGGCTCCCTGCTCCGTGGGGAGTCTGCTTCTCCCTCTCCCTCTGCCCCTCCTCCCCCTGCTTGTGCTCTCTTGCTCTTTCAAATAAATAAATCTTTAAAAAATAAATAAAATCTCTATTCTTGCTGTATTACTTCTCTTTTCTTTAACACCCAGTTTCCTTTTTCCTAACACCTTCAAAAGGAATATAGAAAAAGTATGTAGAAGTACGTTAACACGTATTCAAATTTCACATTAAAGTAATCAAAGATGAAGTAGGAGTTCCTGGATCATGGTGTCCCTGAGTCAGCTTTCTGTAGCAGCACTAATGAGAACTCGCTTTGACAATACAAATGTTCTACACCTGCTAACTAATAAAGTAGCCTCCAGCAAGATATGAATGTGACTACTGAATACTGGCTAGTGTGAGTGAGGAACAGCACTTTTTGAGATATATATCAATATCTCTTTTATTTTTTATTGAAGTATAGTTGATACACAGTGTTACATGACTTTCAGGTATACAACATAGTGATTCGACAAATCTATACAACTACTCCATAATTATGCAGGGCTCACAAGTGTAGCTATCACTGGTCACCATACACTATTACAATACCATTAATTATATTCTCTATGCTGTAGTTTCATCCCCATGAGGAGGAACAGCATTTTTATTTTGATGGTTTAGTACATGATACTGGAGAGTGTAGCTCTATAGCCAATCAGGAATCTGTCAAATCTTTCTTCAGTTTTTCTTGTCATCAATTTCCCCATTTCTACCAATGCCATAGTAATCCAATACCACACACACCACTACATGTACTACTCTTTCCTTTTATTTCACTAAAATATTATTTCTCAGAGTGCCTGGGTGACTCAGTCAATTAAGCATCTGATTCTTGGTTTCAGCTCAGGTCATGGTATCAGGGTCATGAGACTATGCCCAGCCCCACATGGGGCTCCGAGATCAGCATGGAGCCTGCTTGAGATTCTCTCCCTTTACCTCTCCCTCTCCTTTTGCCCCTCTCCCTCTTTCTCTAAAAATAAGTAAATAACATCTTAAAAAAATAAATAAATTTAAAAATTTTTTAAATACTGTTTTTCTGCCTACATTGAACATTATTTAAACTTAACTGTATCATTCACAATGCTCAAAATTCAGTATCTAAAAGAAAAGAAAGAAAAAGGCCAAATGGCATCAAAACCAAAGTATCACAATCTGACCTGATGCATTTTTCTGATCTTTTTGCCAAATCTCTGATTCAATAAGAAAAAAAAAATGTACTCATTATTCCCCACAAAGATGTTAAGCTTTCTCATTAGCTATTCTATGCTATCAATAATAGAGGACCTCCTTGTGTCTGTCCATTAAAAAAAAAAAAAAAAATCAAATCTTAACTTTTCCTCACCCATGAAAACAAATCCTTCTGATCACTGCTCCACCAAAGTAATTATCACTTCTAAATTGTAAAGCTAATTTATAATTAAATTTAAATAATTAATACTGACTTACTGCTTTAACCAATCTCTTATTGTTAACTTTTCTTTCTTTCAGGCTTTGCTCCTAACCTTGAAGGCAAGGGCATATCATATACCCTGGAGTAGAGCCCTCCACAGAGCTTTTATTCAGTCAGATATTAATTAATTCAAAGGAGAGAAAAGGAAGGATGGAGGAAAAAAGGATTAAGTTAGAAATTTCTCTGCAAAGAACCCAAACATGATTCCCTGGCTACATACTAAAAGTTCAAAATATAGCTGAATTCTGGATAGGCTCCAGGCTTGGCAACATTCCTCAGTGTTCTAGGGGGAGTTTTTCCTGCTTTCTCTTCATACCTTTAGCAAAGAGTACCCCCAGATGATCAAGGGAAACTGAAGTGTCTGTAGGTCTAAACCAGAGTCCAGGCTCCTCCTGAAGCATTAACAAGCTCCTTCCTAAATAGCTTCTAATAAGTTAGATAAAATGCATTTCCTCAAATGGCATCAATGAGGCAGATGGGGTGCTATGAAGGAATAGAGAACATCATCACTCTTTCTCCTACCAAAGAGGATAAGGAAAAAAAATATTTTAACCAGCCAAAAAAAAAGGCTCTGTGGGCATCAATTTCTACGATGACTAAATAATTTAAATATGATTTTAATCTTTTGAAAAGATCTTTAGCCATTTTTAACTGTTACAGATTATTACCATGTCTAAAGGAAAATTTTTACCCTAAGGAAAAGCTATTTATTTCCTTAAAAATGTATGATTAAAATTAGAAAGTAAAACTCATTGGGATCTAATTTATTCTATTTTTAAATAGTCTTAAATAGATCAACACTTTATTTCCAGTCCCCGAACACTGTTCATTTAAAATTAATTAAAGCCAGAACACCAAATGACTTCTTTTCTATGTGCTTCTCTCCAGGAAACAAACAGGTAAAACTGACATTTTAAAATTAGATGTTTTCTCAAACACCTTAAAAGTGCTTAAACTTCAATTATATCTCAATTTATTAAAAGAAAGAAAAAAAAGTGCTTAATCCAAAAACACAATACTAGCTGCTCATTAAATGTACAAAAATGCAAAGCACCACACTGGGTGCCCAATAAATGTTTAATGTCCCAACCCCAAATCCAGAGCTGTGATCAAAGCAGAACATCTTTAACATAATATGTTTTTATCCTCTGTCCATACACTAAAAAAGAATGCTACAATGTTTTGGAGGAGTTTCTACTTTAGACTATGTATACCTACATTCGAAAATAGCAAAAGATAAGAATATTGATCTTGATGTTAGCAAAGGATGGCCAACTGCTAAACTCAATTCCTTCTCTTGAGCTTATTTCAAAAATAAAATAACCCATAGCTCTGTCCCATCAAGGTTGGGGTGGGGGGATTAGGAGGAGGATAGGGCTGGGGCAGGAATCAATCTTCCCTAAACTGCTACATTGTTTTCAAGCTTTGCAAGAGCCAGAATTTGTTTAGAAGGTGATGACTCCATCTTGTCCCATAAACCAGCTTCCCTTCGTACTGTGGAAGCACAGAGTACATATTTCCTTACTAATTTCTTTGCTGTTACTCTCAGAAATTAAGATCTTCCCTTAAGATGAAAAATTAAGCCTTTTAAACCTAATACAAAAGTGATCACAAGAATTAAATGATGTAAACTGAAAACTCATTTAAACTAACTTCTACCAGATTTATGTACATTGAATAAAATGTTTTTGACCCAAGTATTCTATAATTTAGCTATCTGATAGAACTATTTTTGTTTTCAAGTTGTAAGGATATTAATACAGTAAAATTGGAAAAGTACAAATTTCAAACAATAAATCAGTATCTAGCTATAGATATTTTATGTCCACACAGCTTATATTGCGTTTAGTTAGGTGACAGAAGAGGGTGTGTGTGTGGAAAAGGCAGATGAAATAAGGAGTATAAAGGATCACCACAGTAGAGAACGAAAAAAGAAAACCCTACCTATCTTGGGTAGAAGTAACTGGATAAATGAAACAATAAATATGAACCCTTCAACCAAAAATAAGGATACAAATTTAACTGAAGCTAATAAGGATCTTTAAACAATCCAACATCTGTTGCTTATGTAAAAGCCTATAATGAAATGAATTGGTGATCTCAGTTCAGATATCCTGGAGGTCTTATTAATGTGAGTGTACAGTACTGAAGGTAACATGTATAGAATAAAAATAGATTCCATTTCAGATATGGGTAAACAGCAATTACATTAAATTACTATTTTCACAAGATATCTGAAATGGTTCAAAATTATTCAAAATTTTGCCATTTCCAGAAATAACTATTAAATAATACCCATTGTGCCTCTAATGCACATACAAAAATATATACTCAAACATATTTACTTTGTGGGATTTTTTTTTTAAGTACGCAGCAAATTCTGAGATCTTAACCTTCAAGAATTTTTCTTTTTTAATTTTATAAAGAAAAACTCTCATGATAGCAAAAGAAGGTAAAGAAAAATTCCCAAACCATCTATTTGGTATAATATACATCACTATCAGTTTTCAGAAAAAAAGTTGTGCTAAGCTATTATGAATATTAAACAGGCTTATCAGCAGCTAATAATTATTAAAGAAAAAATTTTAAATACTCAAGTTGATAGCATTGTTAGAAGAGATGAGGTATAATAACTGCTTTAAATATATAACTTAAATAAAGAATCCCACAACATGAACCAGGCAGAATAAAGTTAGCTGGTTTTACGTCTGACTTTGTTTTAAAATAAGCCGGTACACATAGAAGAGTTTTGTATATATTACCACCTCCTAAAAACAGAAATTTTTCAATGTCTTAAATTTTGCAATTCATCTCTTTAAGATCCTGACCTAGTCATCTGATACTGCATTTTAGAAGTCATGAACTCCACTTACCACATATTTTACAGCACTTATAAACTGGTTGTGGAAGAGCAGATGCTGTGTTTCATCTTCTGGATTTGAAGCTGTGTAAAGCATGCCACAAACATTACAGGAAACTGCTCCAAATCTTTTTTGTCCTGCATCCTATTTATAAAAAACAAACAAAAGTTTTTTTTCCCCTCCCAAAGGAATAATTCCAGAACATCAGCCTCTAAAGCTATAATGGGAACATAAAGGGAGAAGTATTTAATCTACATAACAAAAAATATTCAGTGTTGATTAAAAAAGAAGACATTAAATCTGTGAAATCTGTGTGTAATTTTATTAAGAACTGTTTCCATTTTAGTAATCTGATCACTCGATTCACAGCATTTAATATTTGAAAAGAACTGAGAAAGATCTTTTAACACTACAATCTTAGTCCTAAATGCCAAACAGTAAATATTCTATAAATAAGAACAAAGATACATTCTATATGTGTAATAATTACACTGTTAATGCTTAGTGGAAATAGTTTTTCACAGACTCATTTTTTTAATGTCTTAAAAGTATGTTCTTTTTGGCGCCTGGGTGGCTCAGATGGTTAAGCGTCTGCCTTCAGCTCAGGTCATGATCCCAGGGTCCTGGGATCGAGTCCCACATCGGGCTCCCGGCTCAGCGGGGAGCCTGCTTCTCCCTCTGACCCTCTCCCCTCTCATGCTGTTTCTCTTTCGCTCACTCTTTAAAAAATAAATAAAACCTTTAAAAAAAAAAAAAAAGTATGTTCTTTTTAATTTTTTTTTAATTTCATTATTAGTTTTTGATGTAGTGTTCCATGATTCATTGTTTGCATATAACACCCAGAGCTCCATGCAATACGTACCCTCCTTAATACCCATCACCGGGCTAACCCATCCTCCCATCCCCCTCCCCTCTAAAATCCTCAGTTTGTTTCTCAGAGTCCATAGTCTCTCATGGTTCATCTCCCCCTCTGATTTCCCCCCTTTTTAATGGTTTTGTTCTAGTTTGTAATATTAAAAAGAGTATTTTGATGTCACTAGAAACTCCTAAGAAAAGGTAATATTAATTTTTTGTATTATCTTCATAGTAAATAAGTACAAAATACAATCATCTCTTTTCCAATAATTCATACTTGTGCTGTAGGATAGTAACTGTTTACAAAATGTTTTCTATTCTTGTCCTCATTCAACAAGAAATTTTCAGCAGTATGATCTAAGTCTAAGAATAATAAACTAATAGAGGCGTCTGGGTGGCTCAAGTTGGTTAAGCACCCGATTCTTGATTGCAGCTCAGGTCATGATTTCGGGGTCATGAGACTGAACCCCACACTGGGCTCCACGCTGGGCGTGGAGCCTGCTTAAGATTCTTTCCCTCCTTCTCCCTCTGTCCTTCTACTAGTGCACTCTCTTTTTCTCTAAATAAATAAAAATAAAGTTTAAAAAAAAGAATAAACTAGGGTGCCTGGGTGGCTCAGTCAAAAGTTTCTGCCTTCAGCTCAGGTCAGGATCCCAGGGTCCTGGGATCAAATCTGCATCGGGCTCCCTGCTCAGCAGGAAGCCTGATTTTCCCTCTCCCAGTCCCCCTGCTTGTGCTCTCTCTCGCTCCCTCTGTCAATTAAATAAACTCCTTAAAAAAAAACAAGAATAATCCCTTTACTCCTCCTACTCTAAAACTGTGCAATCTGAATTACTACAAAAAATAAGATGTAAGACAATGGCATCTCTAGTGTCTTAGAACTAGGACAAGTAGCAAAGAGAAATCAAATGGTAAATAAAAGATTGTGGGGGTGCCTGAGTGGCTCAGATGGTTAAGCGTCTGCTTCGGCTGGGGTCATGATCTCGGGGTCCTGGGATTGAGCCCCACATCGGGCTCCCTGCTGAGCGGGGAGCCTGCTTCTCCCTCTCCCTCTGCCTGCCACCCACCCCCCGCTTGTACTCTCTCTCTCTCTCTCTCTCTCTCTCTCGCTCTGTCAAAAAAAAAAAAATCTTAAAAAAAAAAGTGTGTATAGAACTTAAGGGAAGTTCACTCTAAAGGATTCAAACTATTCACAAATTGTTACATGAAATTTATTTCAGGCAGCTAAAAAAAATTTTTTTGTAATTGTGGTACGACATATATAACAATATTTACCATCTTAATTTTTTTTTTTAAAGATTTTATTTATTTATTTGGCAGAGAGAGACACAGCGAGAGAGGGAACACAAGCAGGGGGAGCGGGAGAGGGAGAAGCAGGCTTCCCATGGAGCGGGGAGCCCGATGTGGGGCTCAATCCCAGGAACCTGGGATCATGACCTGAGCCGAAGGCAGACGCTTAACGACTGAGCCACCCAGGCACTCCCATCTTAACGATTTTTAAGTGTACAGTTCAGTAGTGTTACATATATTCACACTGTTGTGCAACCAATCTTCAAAATTCTTTTCATTTTGCAAAACTGAAACTCTATACCCACTAAACAATACGTTCCCAATCCACTTTCCTTCCCAGTTTCTAGAAACTACCATACTACTGTCTCTGAATTTGACTACTCTAGGCACCTCACAGGAGTGAAATCATGCAGTATGTGTCTTTCTGTGACTGACTTATTTCACTTAGCTTAATGTCCTTAAGGTTCAACCACATTGTGCCACGTCAGAATTTCTTCTGTTTTAAGGCTGAATAATATTCCATTGTATGTATACACCACATTTTGTTTATCCATTCATCCTTGATACTTTGATTGCTTTCACCTTTTGGCTATGATTAATGAACACCAGTGTACAAATATCCCTTCAAGCAGGCAGTATTCATAGTATTGAATAAACATCTCTTCCTTGGTGGGGATTAACATAAGAATAAAAAATAAATAAAAATAAAAATAAATAAAAAAAATTAAAAAAAAAAACATCTCTTCCTCAGTTTCTTAATTGGTAAATGGGAAATAATAGTCCCTACCTCATATTTTAAAAACTAAGGCTTAATTAAGTTTTTATGAGTGGAATACATAAAACAATGTATTCAAAAAATATTAGCTGCTATAATGATCATTAACATCATCATCAACTCTTGACCAGAACAACTGAATAGAAGTGCAAGCCACAAATGTAATTTTAAATTTTCTTGTAGCCATGTTAAAGGATGCAAAACAAACATTGAAATTAATTTTAGTATTTTATTCAACAAAACATATCCCAAATATTATGTCAATATATACTAAATAAAAACTTATTAGTGAAATACTTTACATTCCCTTTTCTGTACTAGTCTTTAAAATGCAGTAAATACATTTACACTAATAGTGTATCACAGTTCTGATGAGCCACATTTCAAATACTAAATGGCCACATGTGGCTACCATATTGGACAGTGAAGCTCTAGATTCTACTAGTCTAATCCTGTTTCACTATCATACTGATTTAACAACAGAAATGTTATCAAATCTGATGAAACTTTTTCCTGATTAAACTTTCTCAAAAACTTCCAAATAATTCTTACAAAGTAATTCCTCTATATTAAAGTTAGAATCAATAATCTACTCCAAAAAACTCCTATTGATAATGTTGACTGGAAGTACACTAAACTTTCCTATTATTTTGGGTCCCTTCATTTTTTCAGAGTGTGCTCACTCGTTCAAATTAGATTTTTTTTTTAAAGATTTTATTTATTTATTTGACAGAGAGAGACACAGCAAGAGAGGGAACACAAGCAGGGAGAGTGGGAGAAGGAGAAGCAGGCCTCTCACGGAGCAGGGAGCCTGATGCGGGGCTCAATCCCAGGACCCTGGGATCATGACCTGAACCGAAGGTCATGATGCTTAATGACTGAGCCACCCAGGCACCACTCAAATTTGATTTTTAATCAATCAAAATATCTCCCTCTCTTTTACAACTTGCCACCAAACCGCAGAGTGGTTAATTTCTATTTCAAATTAACTATTGGTTTATCTTCCTATAAAACACAGTTTTAAAATTATAAAATACACTAAAATACAGATATTTAAAATCATTTTATGCATTAAGCTCCATGTTATTTTAATATTTAAACCAACTACTAAAACGAGGTACATCAAATGACATATTTAAGAAAATAACAAATGATAAAATAAATGTAAAATAAAGTATCAATCTGTCATAAATAAAACTAAAAGCATGGGGATTTTGAGTTTTTATTTGTAGCAGGAGGGTCTCACTACTGGAGGGCCAGAAGGGTGGTTGTAATGACAGCAGAAATATTTCCATAATGGTTTATGGTGAAAAAAAGGCTCTTTGGAAAAAAGGATGAACTTACTCTTTAACAATGTGCATAAGTAAGATGATTATAATAACTCTTCACCAAAAAGGTCAGTTGGATACTTACTATGATCAACTGTTTTTCATCAACTTTCTCTGCTTCTTTTAGTTTCAAGTCCTTTGGAATTGTTATCTCCGAATGGGAATTACACTTAGGCCAAGAATGATTTGGTGGTGTCTCCCTTAAAAAAAAAAAAAAAAAAAAGTCACACCATTAAATGTTATAAAGCTGTTATCACTTCAAATCACTAAAAAGGAAAAAAAAATAAACTTGTTCTATACAACACTCACAATTTTCAACTCCAATGGGGGAAAAGTAACCTTTTAAAAATCAAGGGAAGAAAATTACTAATTTTCAACAAATAAAAAACTGCTGTACCTACTATAATTTGAATAAGGTTTAAGTTTTTGGGGTAATTTTTAGCCATCTTAGTTACTACAGTTTGTCCTAAATACTGTTTCCAGTAATCTCTAAAGCAAAATAAGTCAGATTTAACTTTATTCTGACATTAAAGAGAATGGAATGCTTTTAAAACACTTAAAACACTTTTACATGTTGATAATACCCAGTACTTCAAGGGGTTTGCAGAAAGGTGCATTCTCAAAACACTGTTGCTGGAAGTATAAAAAGACACACACTGGAGGAAAATATGGCAATGCAGACTAAGTCCTATAGCTATAAACTTATCCTAGATATAGTAATACAAATGGGCAAAGATGCTTGTGTTTATTGCAGAACTTTTTCTTGGACAGAAATTAACTAGAAACCAAAATGTCTATAAAGTGGAGAACCGTTAAATAAACAATGGAATATTCACACAATGAAATCTAATACAGATTTAACAGAATGAGGTAATAAAGAAAAGATGCCCATAATACCATAAGTTAAAAAAAAAAAAAAAAAGCTATAAAACATATGTATAGGCACAAAAAAAAAGTAAAATGAAAACAGAACTTGTGAATATCACATTCTTTCTACATGAAAAACTGTGGATTACCAGCACAAGGTTTTAGGGAAAAATACCCCAAACTTGAAAGGTAAGTATAAAATCCTTAAGTTCTGTTAAAAACAAGACAACAGGTCCAAAATGGAGTTGCTTATGCTAAGCCCCATATTACCAAACTCAGACTTAGTCTTGATTCTTCCAGAAATGGAATCTTAAACCATTCAGAAATCACCTAATTAGCACTAGTTAGGTGATTTGCCTGAAAGACCTCTGCCATCTCTCCCAAAGGAAAGTAACTTTGCAATAATCAACCCGCTTTTTTGCCAGTTGTAATTTCCTTATTCCCACTCCTTTCTGCTTATAAAAGTCTTTCATGTTACAGCTCCTTGGTGCTCCTTTCTATCTGCAAGACTGGATACTGCCCAATTCGAACTGATTTTTGTTCAAATAAACAAAAACCGTAAAAGCCTCAGTTTATCTTTTAACAGTTCTTCTATTTATTCTTGTATTAAACTAATGTCTTACCTGTCATCACTGGCCTTAGGTGTCTGGTTACTGAGTATAGTATGTTGTTTGGGAGCTGAACCTGTAATTTAATCAAGAAAGTGAGTTACACGTTAATCTTTGTACTACCTCTCCATCTAATAGGCTGAAAATCATTACAAAGAAAAAAAAAGAGAACAATGCACTAAATGTTTTATTTTTAATAAAAATCATTTGATTAAATTAGAGCCCCTTTCTAGAAATTACTCTTCAGAAAAGAGGGAGAAAAAGGCTCTACAGAGCCACAAAGAGATCCAATGGTAGATTAGCAGTGTCTTCTAGTTTCACCAATCACTAGCACTGAACAATAAAGCAACCTGTGTAAATGCCTATATAATTATACAATCTCTAAATGGAAACAAATGGGAACATTTCTTTGTTTAAAAAGAATTGTAGTCTATAAGAAACAGTCAGTGTTGGCGAGGATGTGGAGAAAAAGGAACCCTCCTGCAGTGTTGGTGGGTATGCAAATTAGTACAGCTACTGTGGAAAACAGTATGGGGGTTCTCAAAAATTAAAAATAGAATTACCATATGGTCCAGTAATTCTACTACTGGGTATTTACCCAAAGAATACAAAAATACCAATTTAAAAAGCTATATGCACCCCTATGTTTATTGCAGCATTATTTAAAATAGCCAAATTATGGAAGCAACCCAAGTGTCCATCAATAGATGAGTGGATAAAAAAGATGTGGTATATATACATACATACAATAGAATATTACTCAGCCATAAAAATGAATGAAATCTTGCCAGTTGCAACATGGATGGATCTAGAGGGTGTAATGCTAAGTGAAATAAGTCAGAGAAAGATAAATACCATGTGATTTCACTCATCTGTAGGAATTTAAGAAACAAAACAAGGAAAATAAGAGACAAAGACTCTTAAATATAGAGAACAAATTGGTGGTTACCACAGGGGAGGTGGGTAGAGGAATGGGTGAAACAGGTGAAGGGGATTAAGAGTACACTTATCATGATGAACAATGAGTAATGTATTGAATTGTTGAATCACTATACTGTACACCTGAAACTAATATAAAACTGTATGTTAATTATAATGAATTTTTTAATTGTAGTTTCTAGAGTTTTAATCACATTAATAAATAATGCAATAATCAATTCATTTTCTTTTCTAATGAATAAGTAGTACATTTCTCATATTTGTATTATACTTCTCTTTCCTCCACTAAGAGAAAAGGTTAAATAATATGCAATGAAAGACATTGTCTGACCTCAATATACTGCTCCATGTATACCTTTCCTTCAGCAGAGAGAAACAGGAATTAGGAATTTATTTTCTATATACCCTCAGGCTTCATCTGATATAGGTGAGCAAATCCCCATCCAACAGCTCAAACAATGTATTGTCAAAAAATTTTTACAAGGTCACACAAAAAAAGTCTTTGTATGGCATAACTGCCCAAATTGCAATTTTTTTATTTTTTTTAAGTAAGCTCCACTGACTGGGCCAGCCAGGTGGCCTTCAGCATTTATTAAATCCTTTCAAAGACAGAATCACTAACGTGGAAAACTGAGTGAGGATTAAAGATAAGAATCTGAAGTGGAAAAACACAGTCTTTGTACTTGAAAAATAAGCTCCTACCACTAACTAACGCAATTCATTAAGTAATACTTCTCCAGAAAGTAAGTCATAAACAAAATAAAAGATTTAAGATAGACAAAAGGACTTTTGGTGGTGAGTCAAAGAATCATAAATTATTTATTTTTACGATTTATCAATATGTGTAAACTAGTACTTTATTTTTATACCTCGTTCCCCAAAAATGTTTTGGGAAAACATTTAAAACTTAAATAAAGAAACAATGGATTTTCTAAAGGAAAAGTTAAAGTTGTCCAAGTTAGTTGACCTTTGGCTAATGTGCTTTGTTTCTGTTTTGGACCCAATCTTATTGATCATCCAGGCCATTTTATTTTTTATTTTTTCATACTTAATTTAAACAAGGTAAGAAATAAAAGCAATTCTACCCCAAAGAATGGTAGTAAAGATAAAAACAAAAAACAAAAAAGAATGGTGATAATCACACATTTGAAAAACACACGCAATAGTTCAGAAGGATTTAACTGGCCTATTTGGCGATCAGTATTGTTTTCTACCATACTGACAAAAATATCTCTGAACACTGAGAAATCCAAATAATATTTTCAAAGTTTACCTGGAACTTTATTCTCCCCTGTACCAATTTTTGCTTGACTGGGCAGAGCTGAAACAGTAGAGGTATTTCCCACTGGACTGTTTTCAAGCTTGGATTCCAAACATAGACTGAAATTCTGAATATATAAAATTCAAGATGTTAATATTTGCCTTCATATCAACCTTTGGGACTTATCCCAAGATACTTTCAGTGAATTTTAGCATAGTAAGAAAATTTAAGGTAATACTTTATAGTTGGAGTAATTCACACTGATATGCCTTAAAAGTCTCTTGATCTCCCCACAGCTACCCTCTTAGCATCAGTTCCCATTATTCCCCTTCATGCTATACTGAAAAACTTGCAAATTCCACAGATATATTCTATTTCTGCCTCTTTCATCTATCTAAATCTGCACTGTTCAATACAGTAGCCATGCCTTATCTGACTTAAAATCTCATTAGTATGAATGACTGATTTGAGACTATGTTGTAAATATAAAACACACACCAGATTTTTAAGACTACAAAAAAAAAGTAAAATATCTCAATTTTTAAAATGGATTACATGCTGGGGCGCCTGGGTGGCTCAGTTGGTTAAGCGACTGCCTTCGGCTCAGGTCATGATCCTGGAGTCCTGGGATCGAGTCCCACATCAGGCTCCCTGCTCAGCAGGGAGTCTGCTTCTCCCTCTGACCCTCCTCCCTCTCATGCTGTCTCTCATTCTCTCTCTCGCAAATAAATAAATAAAAAATAAATTAAAAAATCTAAAAAAATGGATTACATGCTGAAATGATAGTATTTTTATATGATAGATTAAATAAAATATATTCATTTTACCAGTGTGTTATTCTTTTTAAGGTGGCTACCAGAAAATTTTAAATAAATATGTGGTTCACATTACATTTCTATTGGATAGTGCTGATCTAGAACCTTTCCCCCTATATCAACTCATTACTTAAATATTAACCTTTTCCATGAAGCCTTCTCCAAGTTTCCTCATGCCCTTTTCCCAAATTTGGAATAATTCTCCATCTATTTCACCTCTACCTTTTTCATGTCCTTATTACTAATATCAGTTAGTTATTTGTTTTTGATTCATCTTCTGTAACTCTTAAGAGCAAAGAACATATTATATTTATCTTTGTATTCCCAAGATCCCCTACATCAGAACACTGTCAAAGCTGATAATCAGTAACTACCGAAAAAAAAAAAAAAAAAACTCCAAACTCTATTAACATTGGCTGTATCTGTATTGTGATTATACACTCAACACGTAACATTATTTTTGAGTATTTTTGAAAAGGTGAACAATTTTTGTCATTCAAAAAGCAAAAAATTAAAAACAAGAACAATGACAAATTACTAATTAATCTCTTAAATAGGAAGGAATTTAGTAAGTTACTGGCTTAAAAAAAAACAAACAATAAAATAGCTGGGCTTTAAAATTCATAAGGTTCAAATTTTTTTTAAAGATGTATTTATTTTAGAAAGAGCACGTAAGAGTGGGAAGAGGGGCCGAGAGAGAGGGCAGACAAAGAAGGAGAGAGAATCTCAAGCAATCTCCCCACTGAGCAAGGAGCCTGACAAGGGGCTCTATCCGAGAACCCTGAGATCATGACCTGAGCAAAAATCAGGAGTCCAATACTTAACCGACTGAGCCACCCAGGTGCCCCATGTTCAAATAATTTAAATTCAGCCCAAAGAATTAAAAGAAGGCCTATCAAATGCTTAGCCTTATCAACCATCATTTCTCAGTACTGCTGAAACTGACATAAAAATTACAGGCAGCCACAGAAAAAGATTTCGTATGATGTAAGGTTTGTTCTTATATTCTCCTTCCTCCCGAAGTATAACCCCGCTACACATTGAAGCCAGTCAATCTCAGTTTAAATCCTAGCTCTACCACTTATAAGTCACTCAGGTAAGTTACTTAAATTTCTAAGCCTCACTCTCCTCACCTGTAATATGTAGGTAATAAGAGAAACTACAGCGTAGATTGTGGTGACAATTCTATGAAGCTCTCCTCTGACTAACAAAGAGGCAGTGTTCACCAAAGGCTATTATGTCATTAACCAAAAGCTATTATGATAGTTAAACTGAGCTACCTCAATTTTTTTTTTAAGATTTTATTTATTTATTTATTTGACAGAGAGAGAGAGAGAGACAGCGAGAGAGGGAATACAAGCAGGGGGAGTGGGAGCAGGAGAAGCAGACTTCCCGCTGAGCAGGGAGCCTGATGTGGGGCTCGATCCCAGGACCCTGGGATCATGACCCGAGCCAAAGGCAGACGCTTAATGACTGAGCCACCCAGGCGGACCCTAAGCTACCTCAATTCTTAGTGCTCATGGCAAGAAGAGAAATCTCTTAAGTGACTGCTACAATGGAAATTCCTTAAAGGCAGGAAACATTTCCTCTTCTGCAGCCCTAGCACAATGTCTTGGACACAGCAGGCACAACTATGTCTTGAACTGACATGGTTACCACATTTCCTGATCACTCTGTGAAAGTGATCACATCACTGGTATTGGTGAAAATAGAAACAAACCGAAAGGGCTTTAGAAGAGGAAAACATAAATTGTGGTATACTCATTTACAGCTATTAAAATACCCATGTATTGGTAAGTATCAAATGTTGACTGCACAAAACCAAGTTGCAAAAAACCACACACACACAACACACACAGACCAACTATGTTAGCATTTAACATTTAAGACATTTAATATTTAAACACTTAAAACGTAACATAAAAACACATATAAAACATTTAAAACACAAAGAGTGCTTTAGTATTCTTTACGGATATATATACACATAGACAGTGAAATCATAAAAATAAAAAAAGAAAAGATCCCCACCAACTTCACAAACATGTTTAACTCTGGGAAGAGAGCTGAATGGAAAGAAGAGGAAGATATGGCTTTTTCCTGTATCTGTAACGTACTTCTCTTATTTTAAAAGACCTGAATTCAATAAAATATTAGTTTTTGTCAAATTTGGGTGGTAGACACAAGTGTAACATTAGTTTCTATAGCATTCTGAATGTTTGAAATACCCAAGAATTTACAAATGTAAATAAAATTTTTAACACAAATTTCATAGGACAGTTTCTTACAATGCACCTCAAGAGAGACGGACTGTACAAATCCAAAGTAAATTTCAGTAAAAGCAATATTATAGGTCAAAATAATGTGATCTAAGTAAGCATCTCTATTCTAGTAGTTTACTCCAAAGGATTACATTTCTTATTCTTCAGTGTAATTCTCCACAAACGAGGGCTTCTTTTATTTTAGTTAACATGCAATGTTAATTTCAGCTGTACAACATAGTGATTCAACACCTCTCTATACATTATGCTATGCTCACAAGTGTACCTACCATCTGTCATCATACAATGCTACTACAATATCACTAACTATATTCCCTATGCTGTACCTTTTATTCCCATGACTGACTTCACAAACTGAATTTTGACAGGCATTTATGTAGCAAGGAGTAGAAGATAAACAATGCAGCTACACCTGGAGTATCGCTATCAATTTGCTGACAAAACATACCCTGAATAGAGAGCCACCCCATCTCTGATGGAAGCCACACTTGTTACTCACACTACCACTCACTACTTACTTCTAATTACTATCACTATTTGAATAATTATCTTCTAATTGGTGCTTTCATTACCATTTGTTCAGAAAATAAAATCTAAGAGTACCATATGGTATCTGTTCCCTTCAATTTGATTTGTACTCCACAAGAATAGACAATGATCTATTTTCATGGCTTCTGGCATAAAGCCCAGACTCCTCACTCATTCGAATTTGCTCCTAGAACAAAGTATCTCTAAAGAGAACTTTAAATCATTCCCAAAACTTTATGATGACATAACTTTTTTCTCTACTCACAATGATTTTTTCCTCAAATGACCTAATGTTCAAAGTACGTAACTGTAGAAAAAATGGTGGGCTGAGAATCAGAACACCTGAAAATTCAATCCTGTTTGTGCCCTCAAACATGTGACCTAAATCACATTCCTCTACTGCGCTTAGTTTTCTCAATACCAAACTAAAACAACTGAAACAATTAGTGAAGTGTCTCAAAAATATAGAGCTCCATGGTTCTATGCATAAAAAATTTCTGCTTATTGGTTTAGATACTGGGATTTTACCTATGATTCAATCTGAAAAAAAAATTGGCTCAGCTGCTTTTAGTTTCAAACTACTTCCTCAGATAATCATTAAAGTTTCTTCAAGCTATTAGATTCTGTTTACTTTTTTTAGATCCTATTTTTCAATTTACTTTTCCATTTTAAAAAATTCTTTGCCACTACAATCTTATTCTTAAACTGAAAATTGAATTATTTACATCTTTCAGACATTTTATTTGCCCAACTCTTCACAATGTGATCACACAAGTCAAACTTAAAAGGCATCCCTACTACTAGAAATGTTTAATTTTTCAATTTTATCAGGTGGAAAAAAGGGATTGATCTGCCGGCTAAAATTAATTTTAACAATTTGGTCAGAATAAGGCCCAAGTTTAATTTCTGTATTTTAGTCACTATGAAACATAGTTAAAATTAAAAGAAAAAGCAAATCAGTGTGTTAAATAAAGAAAAGTTAGGGGGTAAGCGAATGGGCAAATGAGTGAAGGGGAGTGAGAGATACAGGTTTCCAGTTATGGAATGAATAAGTCATCAGAATAAAAGGTAGAGCATAGGGAATATAGGCAATGATATTATAATAGCATTGTATGGTAATAGGTGGTAGCTACACTTGTGAGCAAAGCATAATGTATAGAGATGTTAAATCACTATGTTGTACACCAGAAACTAACATAACACTGTGCATCAATTATACTCAAAAAAATTTTAAATAAGAAAAAGAAAAGCTAGAATTCAACAGCTTCATGCTGCATATAAAATAAGAATAAAGGGCGCCTGGATGGCTCAGTCATTAGCGTCTGCCTTCGGCTCAGGTCATGATCCCAGGGTCCTGGGATCAAGCCCCAAATCGGGCTCCCTGCTCCGCAGGAAGCCTGCTTCTCCCTCTCCCACTCTCCCTGCTTGTGTTCCCTCTCTCACTGTGTCTCTCTCTGTCAAATAAAAATATTAATTAATTAATAAAATAAAATAAAAATGAAAATGAAAGATGAAAATAAGGAAGCAATGAGAAGAATTTATGTAAAGGTCAGACATCTAAAGAAACCAGGAAGTTCTATCACTCACTACAAGACTGAGTTAATAAAACACTACTAACAACTGTATAGGATACCTTAACAAATGACTCCTGTCTTTTATGACTTGATTCTTAAGCTAAAATATGCTGTAAAAACTTATTTAATAGAAAGTGCTCATGTACCTCTACTGTGCATAATGAAAATAAATTACCTTATCTGGTGTTGATTCAAAAGAATCTTTCATCTGGTTATCCAACGGTGGGTCTGGGGGTGGTTTTATCTGATTATCCAAACGACAATTTTCAGGAGCCCTTTTTGTGGTTTTATTAACTTCAACTGTAACATCATTAGTTTTAACTTCTTCAGAATTAATTTCTTTCATTTCTTCCTGTCGGCAAGCTATATTTTTATCATTATGTGGTTTTGTCCCTAAAAATGTACTTTGAGTCGCTGGATGATGCATTTCTAAGGCTGGGAGTGAAAAACTGGTTCGTATTAAGCCCAATTTAGGGGAAACTTGAGAGTCCAACTTATTTTGCTGCACAGAGTTAAATTTTGAGAGTTTAATTTTAGTCCAGTTGGAGTTCTTTTTAGTTGAGCTGTTTATTCCATTTAGTATACATTTCACAGGCTTTGTTTTTCTACTGGGGAAGAAACGACTACACTGAACATCCTGATTTGTTTCCTTTTGAAGAAGTATTTGTCTTTCATTATCAGTCTCCTCCAATTTTATTTCTGTAGGCTTCTCCATCTTTACACTTTCCATTTGTGAAGATTCCTTTTTTACCTCTACAGTATCGGACTCAATCTCACCAGCAATTTCTTCACAGAGCTGAAGAATGCTACCTCGTTTGCTCTTTCCCACTTGCTCCAGCTCATTACCTACACTTTGTTCAGGCACTGATGGCTGTGGACTTTTTTGGGATTTTGCACTAGTATTCACTTGTGTATGAACTGACTTCTTCACCTCATTCTTTTTAGAGACTGCTGAAGTAACCATTTTTGATCTATTTATCTCAGAAGTTACAGGCACAGATTTTGTTTCCTCTTTTCTAGCATTCTTCTGAAGACACTTTTCAGATCCTTTTATGCACTGAGAACTACAAGTAGAAGCTGTTTGATGCTCTACTTTGCGTTTTTTTCCTTTGGGGGAATTTATTACTTCATTAATTACTAGATTTTCATCCTCTTTAGAGTCAGACTTTATTTCGGGTACTTTTCTTTTCACATGTTTTTGACTTGTTTTAACTTTACTAGATTTACTTTGAGAATTGTTACAGTACTCTTTTCTTGGTGGCAAAGTCTGTTTAACTGCTTGAACCTGACCCTGAATTTCTCTATTACGCAGAGACCTTGTTGAAACTTCTGTTAACTGTTGTAGTCTTTGTGATCTCCGGTGTTCATCTGATTTAGGAGTTCCATGCACTGACTTTTTCTGAGGTAATTTCTTCTTTTTTGTAGATTTTTGTTGTGAATGTCCCTTCACAGTCACCATATTTTTGTTAATGGATTTACTAGCTTTTTTATCATTGGATGCAGCTTTTGCTGACCTTGTACTCATGCATGTTCCTAATTCAGGTTGATTTATTTTACTCTCACTAGAAGATTTAACCAGTGATTTTACAGTTTCCTTTGGACCTGATTTTTTTGCCAGATTCGTTTGAGAACCTTGAATTTGTGTTTCTAAATTCTTATCTTCACTTTTTTTAATAACATTGGAGGAATTTTCTTTTGATTTCTCCTGAATGGACATCATTCCTGAGTAAGGTCCTCCTTTTCTGAAGTAGCTTTTGAGAGGATTTTCGTGTCCTGGTAGGTGCGAATGCTCAATGTCTAGTATTATTACTGAGGAGGTCTTAAGAATCAACTTTGAGGCTGATGTACATTTTCAACAAAAATACTAGTTTGCTTCAAGTAAGGTTTCGGTCATCCCTAGGACATGAGAAAAGCTGGTATGAAGGCTGAAAGATATTTGCTTTACTTCTGGACAAGGCAATAGAAATTTGAGGAAAATTTAATTCTAATTTGATATTTTTAGAACTTTTTATGACAAAAACTGAATTCAGGTTCAATCTGTTAATTTTTCAATTAATAATGGTATTCAGGCCTAGCCCTATTACTGGAGGAGTTATTTATCACTGACCTGTTTTGACAAAGATTTTGAAAACTTTTTTCTTCTGAAGTCTACAGTTACTGGACTTCGATTCATTTGAAACATGTCTTACAGCTAACAGGTTTCTTTCCTTGTTTGCTGAGACTGTTAGTTTAAAGTTTTTATCTAACCTCTTTCGTTTAATAAAATACTCTATTAATATAGATTTCCTTTTGTGCTGCCATTTCTGAAAAATTAAAAAAAATTAAAATTAAATTTTGTACAATCCAAGAAATATGGCAATGCTAATACTATACAGAAATAATACCGATTTATATAAACCTAACTTCTCCTTTTTAATTATTTAGTCTGTATATTTAAGGCTAACAAAATAAAGTATCCCAAAGTACATTCCTATAAGTAATCAGTAACTTGTTTTATATAAGCATAGAATAGTCAAAATTTATCAGTTTATTCCCTGAAGTTACTTACAATTCTTTTCCCACAAGACAGACTTGATCTTTCAGCCACCATAACTCATGAAAATTTGGCAAAATCATTCCTTAAAGTATCCTTCTTAACACATAACACAGCACCTAAAAAAAAAAAGTTTTAAAAAATGTTTAAAAGGTGCAAATATGTAAATTTTCATTCACCATTCATCAAATACAACACTCCACAATTTTACACTGTCCTATCATTAGTCTTCAGAATTCACTTTATACATACCACTTCATTTTAGTATTTCTAACCTGAAGTAAACAGTCCATTTTATGTTGTAAAAAAAAAAGTTTTAAAATACAAAACACGGGCACCTGGGTGGCTCAGTTGGTTAAGCGACTGCCTTCGGCTCAGGTCATGATCCTGGAGTCCCTGGATCGAGTCCCGCATCGGGCTCCCTGCTTGGCAGGGAGTCTGCTTCTCCCTCTGACCCTCCCCCCTCTCATGTGCTTGCTCTCTCTCATTCTCTCTCTCTCAAATAAATAAATAAAATCTTTAAAAAAATAAAATACAAAACACAATTCATAATACATACATATAATGGGCTAAACTGGTAAAGTAAAATCCTATTTTGAGGGAAAAGAGTGCATACAATTACTCGTACATAGAAAAACACTGATACACAGTTAAAAAGGCAGATTTAAACACATACATTTTCCTCTACTCTTGTGTAAAACCTACTTTAAAAAAGCAATAGATTAAAACAAGACAAAACCATAAACCCGAAGGATAAAGAGTAAATGGTAAAAATAAAAAATATGGAAGTTACAAAGAATGACAAATAATAACCTCTAGACTCAAGAAAACTTGAATCCTAAGCTGGAAATGGGGAAAGCGGAGAAGCAGCTCTACTTAAAACCACAGAATCTCCCAAAACTCAGGAACTGCCAGTCCCAGGCTCCACAGGAGATGAGGATGAAAATAGGACTCAAAAAAGCAGGAAGATGCCAAGACTGCCATTCCAATTACTAGCACCAGAAAACTGCCCTATATCCCTGAAGACCCTAGTATAAATCTCTGGAAAGAGTGTAACAAAAGGCCTTTAGTTTGGGGGCTCACGAGTGACAGGGGAGGGGAAAAGTATCATACGGACAACAGACAGAATAAGTAGGAGTACACACAGTGCTGAAACCCATTCCATCCACTTAAAAGTCCTCTCTGCCTATTGAAGAAACTCCTAGAGGAAGCAGCCAAGCCTGTACACTCCTGGAAGGAAACTGGAAGACCATTTTTTAATGAATTTGACAGGCCTAGAGATAAAAGAACTAAAAAAATACCCAGTTAAGTGTGCACATGCACATGCATGTGCACACACACACACACACACTCACACCCTACAGTCAAGAAACTACCAGCCCACCCACCATCCAAACACACAAAACTTCCAAATCACTTTTAGTGTCTCACTTGTAACTCTGAACAAACAAACAAGAATCACAATACATAGGGGCGCCTGGGTGGCTCAGTCGTTAAGCGTCTGCCTTCGGCTCAGGTCATGATCCCAGGGTCCTGGGATCGAGTCCCGCATTGGGCTCCCTGCTCGGCAGGAAGCCTAGTTCTCCCTCTCCCACTCCCCCTACTTGTGTTCCTGCTCTTGCTATCTCTCTCTCTGTCAAATAATAAATAAAATCTTTAAAAAAAAAAAAAAAAAGAATCACAATACATGAGGAAAACCTTAAAATGAAAAAGAAAAAAAAAAAAAAAACAGGAAATAAATAGCTTAGCAGAAACAAACTATGCAAAGCCAAAAACTAAAACCAGGCGCCTGAGTTTCCAGATTTAAAGGGCCAATAGCACCTAGCACAAATGATTTTTAAAAAAAGATGTTAAGGTGTGCGTGGGTGGCTCAGTCAGTTAAGCGTCTGCTTTTGGCTCAGGTCATGATCCTGAGGTCCAGGGATCGAGTCCCACATCGGCCTCCTTGCTCAGCAGGGAGCCTGCTTCTCCCTCTGCCTGCCACTCCCCCTGCTTATGCTCACTCCCTCTCTCTGACAAATAAAATCTTTAAAAAAAAAAAAAAGATGTTAAAAAGTGTATCATGAAGACAAAAAGATGATCCTCAAGCTTCTAGGGAGGAGGGAAAAATCTTGACCACATAGATATTATACATGCAAATTATTATTTGCAAGGAAGAAAAACAAAAAATTAGTATGTGAATTTATAAAAGAGAATTTTAAAAATTAAAAATCAAAATCAAAAGCTTTAAATAAACAACAATCAGCTGAAATACATAATAGAAGAAAATATCACATACCAGTTTATAACACACACATACACAAATCAAACTTAGAAAGTAATGGGGTGTAGATTTGTGTCACTTAGGTGTAATAATTAACAATTTAATTCCAACAAATCAATAGACAAGAGAAAACAGAGACTCCAAAAATAGGGCCAAGTGAATAAGGCAAGCTAGTACATATAAAGGTAGTACTAATTACTTTCAAATTAATGAAGAAAAGATTATTCAACAATTGGTGTCAGGACAAGTAGGTAACCATCTGGGGAATTTTGGTTTAAGAGTGAGGTTATGCATGGAGGACATTTGGAGAAGGAAGGGAAAAATGGGGAGGGGGAATTGGAGGGAGAGATGAACCATGAGAGACTATGGACCTGAGAAACAAACAGGGTTTTAGAAGGGAGGGGGGAGAGGGGGTTGGTTAACCCAGTGATGGGTATTAAGGAGGGCACATACTGCATGGAGCACTGGGTGTTATACGAAAACAATGGATCGTGGATCACCACATCAAAAACCAATGATGTATTGTATGGTGACTAACATAACATAATAAAATTAAAAAATAAAAAAGTGAGGTCATGTCCAGAAAAAATTTAATCATTAAAAATTAATTAGGAGTTAAAATATAGTAAATTAAAATGTGTGAGAATTTTAGTATTTATTTTCAGAGTGGGAAAAACTTTCAAGCATTGTCAGAAAATTCAGAAGCCAGGTTTGAGGAACAAAACTAGGGAAATAGACTGGCAAGAAATAGCAAAAGCTATTTACCATGACATATTCACAGGAAAGAAACCACAGATGGCTGGTGTGATAATAACAGAATAATTTAAGTTAGAACCAAGACAAAACACCATTTTTCACCTATCAGACTGGCCAAAGATCAGGAAGTTTAAGAACACGGTCTTGGCAAAGGTTTGTGACAGCTAATTCAGTGTCTACACAGGACAATTAGGCAGTATCTATCAAATTATAAAGGTTAAATTTGAAGCAATTCCATTCCTAGGACTTTATATACAGACACACATGCACAAGTGCTCAAAGACACAAATAAATATAAAACTGCAGCACTGTATGAACAGAATGAATACCCCAGCAGACATCACTATAAGCTACTTATATAACTGACCCAATTATATATACACCCAACAGAATACCACGCAATCACATCAACTCAATTCCAAGCGAAATTTCCAGTTTTTTTATACAGAAACTGACAACCTGATTTTAAAACTTACATGGAAATGCAGAAACTATGTACAATAGTCAAAGCCTTTTTAAAAAAATTTTTTACAATACTGATACTATTAAACTTCAAGACTTGTAAATCTACAGTAATCAAAACAGTGTAATACTGATAAAGGAAGCAGAGATCAATGGAATAGAGAATCCAAAAACAGACCCATACATTTATGATCAACTAATTTTCAGCAAAAGTGCCAACACAAATCCATAGGGAAAACAAAGTCTGAAAAAATGGTGCTAGAACTACTGGAAATCTAAATAGATGGGAAAAAAAAAAAAAGAACATCAACCCTTCCCTCATACAACCCACAAAAATAATGTGAGATTGACCAAAGAAATGAATATAAAACTATAAAGCTCAAGAAGAAAACAAAGGCAAAAATCTTTGGGGTAGACAAAGATTTTTTTTAGGCAAGAATCCTACTCATTCAACATATGACCATGTAAAAACCATGTTCAAGAATCTTCAAAGCAGGGGCACCTGAGTGGCTCAGTCGGTTAAGTACCCAACTCTTGATTTCGGCTCAGAATTGAGAGATCAAGCGCCACATCAGGCTCTATACTGAGCAGGGAGTCTGCTTGAGATTCTCTCTGTCTTCCTCTGCCCCTCCCCACCGCTCTCTCTCATGCACGTGCTAATAAATAAATCTTAAAAAAAAAAAAAAAAAATCCTCAAAGCAGCTCTATGCACAATAACCAAAATCTAAAAAAAAAAAAAAAAAAAGGTCAGGTGAATGGGTCAATAAAATGTAGTATATCAATAATATAATAGAAAAGTACTCAGCAATCGAAAGGAACTATTGGAACAATATGATGAACCTCACAACCATTATGGTGAATGAAAAAAGGTGAACACAAAGAGTACATAATGTATGATTCCACTTGAAATTCTAGAAAAAGCAAACTATAGTTGATCCTTGAACAAAGCAGGGGTTGGAGTGCCGAACCCCAGTGCAGTCAAGAATCTGCATTAACTTTTGACTCCCCAAAAATGTGACTACTAATATGGCCTACTGTTGACCAGAAGCCTTATCAATAACATAAACAGTCAATTAATATATATTTTGTGATATATACATTTTATTCTGTATTCTTATGATAAAGCTAGAGAAAAGAAAATGTTAAGAAAATCATAAGGAAAAGAAAATAAATTTACAGTACTATACTGTATTTATCGATACCGTAAGTTGACATCATTGTTTCATAAGATGCATCATCAGTCAGGACCTACATCAATATTGTCCTAAATAATACAAAACACTATAAATTTAAATGCTATTACCAACACTAGACATCAAAAATGAAAACATGTGAAAAAGAAATTCATATTTACTTACAGATATAACAATTCATGCACTGATAATGAAGGAGCAGTATGACTGCTTTACAGTACCCAGTGTAAGAGATCAGTTGCTTCACACTGGACTAGCATATACACTAATGAATGAATCGTTATACAATTTTCATGTCATGAAGTATTACAGTCATATTCATTAACACAACACTGCAAACACATTTTTTCTAAAAACCACTTACCTGTGATGATAGGCTGATATACAGTTTCTCCAATTACAAGACAGAGCATATGGTAACATAATTCTTTGAAAGTTCTAAAACAGTAAGAAAACTAACACATTATTAATTTTGTATTAAATATCACTCACCTTATGCCTACGTAAGGATAGGCTATCCACTGCCATACAAGTCTTGTACATGATTTTCTACACGATGAAAACTTAAGCAATGGTGATGATGATGTTGACAGAAAACCATCTCAGGCAGTTCTTGCCATTCAGTTATTAGATTTTCACACGAAGACACTCACACACACAACAGATAAGTTTATTAACTGTATGGCATGATGATTATTTACTATTCATTAAATGGAAGTGGATCATCATAAATGTCTTCATCCCTGTTGTTTTCACTCTTCATACTGAGTAGGCTGAAGAGGAGGAAGAGAGGAAGATGGTCTTGGTGTCTTAGGGACAGCAGAAGAGGTGAAGGCGAAAAGGGAGGCAGGAGAGGCAAGCCAATTTGGTGTACTTTATGGAAATACATTGTAATTTCTGTTCTGACATTTTTGCTTTTTCATCTCTTTAAAAATGTTTCTACACAGTACCAATCCTTCCTCTAGCATTTGCTTTAGTTTCAGTGCCCATATAATAGAAGGGTCCATGTCCTAGAAGAAGTCAAAAGCAGTCTTGAATAATTAGAATCCTTCTGCCAGACAGTCTAATGTCAATCTGTTTTCTGGCACTGCTTCATCCACATCTTCTTCTTCAACGTCTGGCATTGGTTCAGATGTGTTTATCCACATCAAGTCATCTTCTATTAATTCCTTTTGTGTGGCATCTATCAGCTCTTGAGTTTCTCCAAGATCTGTACCTTAAAACCCTTCACACCCCCCACCTTTTTTGCCATATCCACAATCTCTTTCATAATTTCCTTGATTGGTCTGTTGTAAATTGTGAAGTCATACACAACTTCTAGACACATTTTTCTCCTGCAGGAATTTACTGTTTTGGGCTTGGTGGTTTTCATGGCTTGTTCTATAAACAATGATGGCATCCTTGATGATGCAATCCTTCCAGGCTTTCATGATGTTCTATCAGGGTTCTTTTCCATAGTGTTGAAAATCCTTTCTAGAGAGTACCATGTGTGGATGAGCCTTAAAGGTCCTTAAGACCTCCTGATCTAGAGGCTAAATTAGAGATTTTGTGTTTAGGGGCAAGTAGACCACTTTGATGCCTTTGGTGTTGAACTCATCAGGTTCTGGATGCCCAGGGACATTGTCTAAGATCAAAAGAACTTTAAAAGGCAGTGCCTTACCGGCAAGGTACTTCCTGACTTAAGGGACAAAGTATTGATGGAACCAATCCCGAAAAAAGATTCTCGTCGTTCAGTCCTTTTTGTTGTACAACCAAAAGTCTGGGGTGCCTGCTGGCTCAGTCAGTAGAGTATGTGACTGATCTCAGGGTCATGAGTTTGAGCCCCACCTTGGATGTAGAGATTTAAAAAAAATAGTCGGGCAGCTGGTGTTTATCTTTTCCCTTCAAGGTTTGGAGATTAGCAGCTTTATACATAAGGACAGTCCTGGTCACAAACCCAATTGCATTTGCACAAAAGAGAAGAATTAGCCTATCCCTTCCTACCTTAAATCCTAAGGCTCATTTCTCTTCCATATTAATAAATGTCCTTTATTGTATGTTTTTTTCCAGGATGGGGCACTTTTTGTCTGCAGTAAAAAAACCTGTTCAGGCAGATATTCTTTCTCCTCAATGATTTTCTTAATGCCATCCGGGAACTCATCTGCTGCCTCTTGGTCAGCAGAAGCTGTTTCTCCTGTTTTCTTGACATTTTAAAAATCAAACCTTTTTCTAAAATTATCAAACCATTCTTTGCTGGCACTAAATTCTCCAGCTTTACCCTTCACCTTCCTTTTGCTTTAAGTTGTCCTATAATGACTTTGCCTTTCCTCAAATCATATTAGAGTCTATAGGTATGCCTTTCCTATAGCAACCCTGCACCCACATAAAAGCTGCATTTTCAATACAAGATAAAAAGGTATTTCAAAAAGTACAAGGTTTTGACGCCTTCTGGCATAACTGCAGCAATACCTTCAAGAATTTCCTTTCCTTTTCCTACGATGGTCCTTACGCTGGATTCATTTATCTTGAACTGGCAGGCAACTGTAGCTGCAGGCCTCAATCTATGGTACTTAACAAACAATTCAACTTTTTCTTATAATGTCATGACTTTCCCCTGCTTCTTGGGAGCACTTCCAGCATTACTAGTGGCACTTGAAACAGGTCCCATGGTGTTATTCAAGGTTTACAGTACTGCAAATACGCAAAAACTGCAGAGATCACTTTTTACTGTGATACGCAATTTACTGCAGAGACAAATTGCTCACACAGAGATGATTAGATCACACCACCGTGTTTTAAGCAGACTCAAACACCTAAGCTGACCACAACAGCAACGTGAGATGGCTACAAAATTATTATAGTAGTACAGTATATACTACAGTTAAGTTCATGCAGTTATGATTTAATACTGCATCTTTGTTTAGATTTTTTACTGTAAATGATGCAATGTATGGTCTGTGTCTGCACACATTTTAATAAATTTTAACTTTTTATAATAGATCTGTGAATATTTTATGGTAGTAAGTAATAAACTACATATATTTTATGCATTCATGAAACACCTAACTTTTTAATTTTTTCAGTATTTCTAAGCTACATGGTTTCTCCACAAGTCTTTTTCAAATTGCCACAAATCTCAAAAAAATTTTTTCAATGTATTTATTGAAAAAAATCCGCATAAGTGGACCCACACAATTCAAACCCATGTTGTTCAAGGGTCAACTGTAATCTACAGTAAGACAGCAGATGAGTCCTTCCCTAAGGTCAGAGAGGAGGGAGAGACAGACTTTTGGAAGCGATGGAGATGTTCTGTGTCTTGACTGTAGTGGTGGTTTCAAGAGTGTGTATATCTGTCAAAATCCACCAAATTGTACAGTTTAAGAGAGTGGAGTTTACTGTACATAAATTATACTTTAATAAAGCTGTCAAAAAATATAGTGCTGTAAGTAACTGAAATGGACCTGCACCTGCAACCAAGAAGCATTGTTAAACCAAAAACAGCAAGGTGCAGAAGAGGGTAAAAACAGCAATTTTTTAGGAAAAAAGTGGGAGAAAGGAAATGCACAGAAACATATGCTTGCTTATGCACACATTAGGTATAGAAAGATACATAATAAATATAATAGTGAAGATTTCTGGGAAAGAGAACTACAAAACCAAGTGTCAGGAGTGTGAAAAAGCTTACTTTTCACTATATACCCATTCAAATGTTTTATTATATAGACATATAACCTAATCAAAATTAAAATATAAGTTATATTTCTCTGAAAATAAAAAGTTATATTTGGCACACTAATTCATCTTGGAAGGCACTATATTATAAAAGTATAAGCCACTTACCTTACTGAGACAAAAATCACATATCACTGTTTCTTTAAGTTGACTGATGATGCTTCCAATGAATGATGCTCCTAATAACTTCCTGTGTTTGGGAATTAATCTTAAAAAAAAAAAAAAAAGAATCCTGTAACTAAAGTAAAACAATCTATTAAAACACATAAGAATATAAAATTACTATTGTCTACTAACTCATATTAAAACAGCTTAAGACTAAGCTAGACTAAGTAAACAACTGCCTAATAACAATGTATAGCATCACATATCTCATTTTTACACCATATAATAGATTAGGTTTTTCTTCAAATACAATCACCACCTCCAAACCTCCGCTGCATGGAAGGAGTATATTTTCCTTCCCAACTGGTGCTGAACTTGACCACATGCCTTCCTTTGGCCTCATGGTGGGCAGAGTATACTTCCCTGCCCCCATAACCTTAGCCATCTAACTTGGTTTGGCCAATGGTATATTAGGAGAAACGATGCAGAGGTTTGAAATGTCTTTGTGCAGCTGGGCTTGCCCTCTTGCACCTCTGCCATCACCATAAGAGCTTCACCAGGTAGATGAAGGCAGCCCTTCAGCCTAGACCCCAGAATAAACATAAAGAGTAGAACTGAGCCAAACCCCAAATGAGGTGACAAGCCGAACCCACAGTGAGAAATAAAGCCCACCCACACCCACAGCTGCCCACCAAGCCTAACCTAAATCACCTAACCCACAGCTGCTCTGCAGATGTGTGATCAATTAACTGCTGTTTTAAGGCACTGAGCTCTAGGGCAGTTTCTTATACAGCAATAGCTAATACATACTGTGATTAATTTTTACTTTCTGAGAAGCTCTAAACTTACCCAAGATTAAGCCCCAGAAACAGAACAAAAAAAGAAAGAAAACTCATTTATATTCCTTTATTACTTGAGCACTAAAAATTATAATTTTTTAAATGATGAATATTCTTCTTTTACAGCTATTCCTCCCAATTTCTAAGTATTTTAATACATTTGGGACCTACCTTATAAAAGAGATAAACTGATACACAACTCTACAGTATTTGTCAATCACCTGTTCAAGGTGTGCTAAGGACCACTTCAATTCTAGTTTGCCCCCTCACGCAACCATCACTAATCTAGCATTACACAACTTAATAAACCCCCTTTCTTCATAACCCTTAAATAATATCTTGCAAATAAGAACTGAAATGCACCCTCTCATCTGTTAACAAATTGACAAGGCCCCTCCCACACAACCCAGAGCTAGATTAATATAATCCTAATGAAAACAGTATCAGGGTCAAAAAAACACAATAATTAAGCTTTACATAAAATGACCACTTCAGAAAACCTAAAATAACATTTATATTTGGGCACCTGGATGGCTCAGTCAGTTAAGCATCTGCCTTTAGCTCAGGTCATGATCCCGGAGTCCTGGGATGATTCCTGCGTCAGGCTCCCTGCTCAGTGGGGAGCCTGCTTATCCCTCTCCTTCTGCCCCTCCCCATGCTTGTAATCTCACTCTCTCTCTCTCTCTCTCTCTGACAAATAAATAAATATAGAAAAAAATAACATTTATATTTTACTACAAAAGAAATCTTACAAGGCACATTAGAAAATACTGAGAATTTAACAATAATCCAATTTCCCACGGTGCTTTATAATAAAATGTACTCAAATTTTAATCATTAAAATATTTGGATTATAAAAAAAATTTAAGATTTTATTTATTTATTTGAGAGAGACAGCACATAAGCAGGGGGCGGGGGGGGGGGGCTGTAGACAGAGGGAGAGGGAGAAGCTGACTTCCCCACTGAGCAGGAAGCCAGACATGGGGCTTGATCCCAGGACCCTAAGATCATGACCTGAGCCAAAGGCAGATGTTTAACTGACTGAGCCATCCAGGAACCCCATGATTATAAAAAAAATTTTTAAACAGAAAGGAAAAAAAAAAAGAAAAAATTTGGATTGTATTATCACCCAATATATTTTAATATTAGTCATTTTTTAAAAAAACATTTCATGATTAGGGCACCTGGGTGGCTCAGTTGAAGATCCAACTCCTGATTTCGGCTCAGGTCATAATCTCAAGGTTGTGGGATCGGGCTCCACGCTCAGCAGGGAAGTCTGCTTGAAATACCTTGCCCCTCCCCTCTCTGAAATAAATTTTTAAAATATCCAAAAAAAATTTTATGATTGAGATATAATCCCTTACCATAAAATTCACCTCTTTATAGTATACAATTTAGTGGGTTTTAGTACATTCAGAGTTGTGTAACAATTGCCAGTATCTAATTCCAGAATATTTTTATGACCTCAAAAAAATCCCCCAAAAAACATGCTCATTAAAAGTCATTCCCCAGGGGCGCCTGGGTGGCTCAGTCGTTAAGCATCTGCCTTCAGCTCAGGTCATGATCCCAGGGTTCTGGGATCGAGTCCCACGTCGGGTTCCCTGCTCTGCGGGAAGCCTGCTTCTCCCTCTCCCACTCCCCCTGCTTATGTTCCTGTTCTTGCTCTCTCTCTCTCTGTCAAATAAATAAATAAAATCTTAAAAAAAAAAAGTCATTCCCCATTCCTCCTCCCTCCAGCCCTGGCAACTACAAATCTACCTTCTGTTTTTATGGATCTGACTATTCTAGATGTTGCATATAAATGGAATCATACAACATATGGTCTCTGTGACTGGCTTCTTTCATGTTTTCAAGGTTCAAATAACATAGCATTTATCAGTAATGCCCTATGATTTTTATGACTGAGTACTATTCCACTGTATAAACATGCCACATTTTGTGTAACTATTGATCAGTTCATGGATGTTTGACAGATTTTTTTTTTAAGATTTTATTTATTTAGGGGCACCTGGGTAGATAAATCTTTTTTTTTTTTTTAAAGATTTGTTTATTTATTTGACAGAGAGAGAGACACAGCAAGAGGGAACACAAGCAGGGGGAGTGGGAGAGGGAGAAGCAGGCTTCCCGCAGAGCAGGGAGCCCGATGCAGGGCTCGATCCCAGGACCCCGGGATCATGACCTGAGCTGAAGGCAGACGCTTAACGACTGAGCTACCCAGGCACCCCTGACAGATTGTTCCTACTTTGTGGCTATCACAAATAATGTTATGAACAATCCTAATGAGTTTTGTGTGAACACAGGTTTCCAGTCTTTTGGTTATACACAAAGAAGTATGACTGCTGGACCATATGATAGTTAACTTTAGAGGGACTGTTTTCCAAACCAGCTGTATCCTTTTACATTTCCACCAGCCATGTAGGAGGGTTCCAATTTCTCTACATCCTGGTCAGCATTTTTTACTATCTTTTTAAACTTTAGTCATCCTTTTGGGTGTAAAGTGGTATCTCACTGTACTTCTGATTTGTATTTTCCTAATGACTAATTAGGTGAGCATCTTTTCATGAGCTTAGTGGCCATTTGTATTTCTTCTCTGCAGAAATATATATTCATATCCTTTCCTCCTCCTTTAAATTGGGTCGTTTTTCTTTTTATTATTGAGTTGTAACAGTTCTTTATCTGGATATTAGACTCTCAGCAGATGCATCGCTTCCAGATATTTTCTCCAATTCTGTTACTTGTTGCTTCATTTTCTTGATAGAGTCCTTTGATGCACAAGTCTTTATTTTTAGTTATGTCCAATTAATCTATTTTTCTTTGGTTGTTTGTGATTAGATGTCATATCTAAGAAACTACCACCTAATTCAAAACCATGAGGATTTACATCTGTTTTCTTCTAGGAGTTTTATAGTGTTAGCTTACATTTAGATCTCTGGTCAATCTTGAGTTCATTTTGTATACGGTACAAAGTAGGAGTAAAACCTTCATTCTTTTGCAGGTGAATATACAACTGTCAGAGCACCATTTGTTAAAGACCATTCTTTACCTACTGAATTGTCTTGGTAATATTGTCAAAAATCAACTGCTGGTTTAATTCCGGACTCTCTACACTGTTCCACTCATCTATATGATGTTATGCCAGTACCACAAAGTCTCTTAATTACTGTAGCCTTATAGTAAACTTTTTCTGAGATATAATTGATATATTGTATTAGTTTCAGGGATACAACACATTGATTACATACATAGTTACTAAAATCTTTTTTCTTGTGATGAAAATTAAGATCTACTCTCAGCAACTTCCAAATATAAAATATATTTTTTAAAGATTTTATATATTTATTTGAGAGAGCAGAGCGAGAGAGAGAGAGCACAAGCAGGGGTAGAGGGGCAGAAGAGGCAGCCGGCTCCCTGCCAAGCAGGGAGCCCAATGTGGAGCCTGATCCCAGGACCCCGGACCTGAGCCAAAGGCAGACACTTAACCAACTGAGCCACCCAGGCACCCCACGAAACAATATTATTAGTTATAGTCACCAAGCTGTACATTACATGCCCATGACTTATTTATTTTATAACTGAAAGTTTGAATTTTTTGGCCCCCTTCCCCTTCACCCATTTCACCTACCCCCCACCTATGGCAACCACCAATCTGTTCTCTGTATCTATGAGCTTAGTTTCTTATTTTTGTTTGTTTTTAGATTCTGCATATATAAGTGAGATCATACAGTATTTGTCTTACCTGACTTATTTCACTTAGCATAATGACCTTAAGGTCCATCCATGTTGTCACAAATGGCAAGATTTCATTTTTTATGGATGAGTAGTATTCCACTGTGCATATATTGTGTATATAGTCCATTGTATATATATTTTTTCTTTATCCATTCATTTATCAATGGACATTTACGCTGTTTCCTTAACTATTGTAAATAATGCTGCAATGAACAGGGGGTGCATATATCTTTCTGAAATAGTATTTTGTTTTCTCCTGACAAATACCCAGGACCCTATGGTAGTTCTATTTTTTATTTTTTAAGGAAACTTCATATTGTTTTCCATGCTGGCTGTACCCACTCACATCTCCACTGACCGTGAACAAGGGTTTCCTTTTCTCCACATCCTTGCCAACATTTGTTATTTGTTGTCTTTTTGATAATAGTCATTCTAACAGGTTTAAGATGGTATTTCATTGTGGCTTTGATTTGCATTTTCCTGGTGATTAGTGATGTTGAGCATCTTTCCATATACCTACTGGCCATCTGTATGT